TTCTGGAGTTAGAGCTTAGCGGCTGAGGGGGGGAACCTTGAGGGTCCAGAGGCTGTCGGCAGGCTGAGGGCTTGGCGGAGGCAGAGCTTGGTTTGTGTGTTTGCAGATCACAGATTAGAGTTTCCCTTCCAGATTCTTCTGAGAGCGGGCAGGCAGGTCTTTGACAGGAATGATTCTCCAGGGTTCTTCAGAGATCAGACAGACAGATTTCCAACAGAGAAACTCTTCAGGGTTTCTGGTTTCAGGCAGGTTCAACCTGGGAAGCAGAAAGGAGAAATCAGATCAGGTTCAGGTTTTCAGGGAGTCAGAGATTCAGACAGGCTGGTTGGCTCAGGCTTGCTAACCGTAACTGGCAAACACTCTGGCCCTGGAGAGACGTCCTCTGCCTCCTTAAATACAGGTCTCCTGATGACCAGATGAGCGACAGGTGGTGCAATCAGCTCCGGCTCCAGGAGATCTGGAACGCCCTCTGGTGGAGAAAGTGGACAGACCTCCAGATCCCAACACTTTGCTCCTTGTTTTCTAGCTTTTTATGGTTTCATTCTTATTTTATTGTGTTCCTTGTTTTTTTTCTTCTTAGTTTCTGTCTTAGTCTTGGTTCTGTTATGTTTTCTTTTGAGTGTTCAGTTTTGCTTTACTCCATGTTTTATAGTCTTAGTGGTTTATTTCTTATTTGTTCTTTCTGGTTATTTTCAGTTCTCAGGTTTTTATTTGCTGCCCTCTGCTGCCCTCTTGAGTTCTCCTTTTTTCCCTTGCCCCTTTCTTGTTTCTGCTCTACTCACACCTGCTCCTAATCTGCTCGTTAGCCTTCCACCTTGTGATAGTAATCCCCCTGATGTCTCCATGGTTTCTGGTTTGTTTTGACTTGTTTCCTTGTTTTGATTTTTGGACTCCTGGTTTCCTGTTAGTTTTGACTTTGTTTTCTTTTTGGATTACCTGCCTCTGTTTTCAATGAACCTTCATTAAATCACCAGAAAATTCACCTCTGCCTTCGTGCCTCTGCTTTTGGGTCACCAATCCATAACCAAATCCTGACACCTTTAAATTTTAAATTTTTTTAATGTACAATCCTTAAGTCTAACTATACTAGAAGCATCGAACAAATATAATAGGATTTTTGTTTTTCCAATAAGACTGTCTAAAAATCTGTGGTGAGGTTTAGTGGAGGTTGTTCTTTTTCCTGGTGGATCATCTAAATAAGTGGTCCTCCTAATTGTCAATCATTCTGGTGATTGTTTATGTAATATGTCTACGTGCTCGGCCCAATTTTTACTTACTAGTTGTGAGTTTGACAAAATGAAAGATTGTAAATCTTCTTGAAATAAAGCATGTATAAGCGTTTCAAACAGTAACTTTAAAACAGAGCGTGCACGAGGAGAAATGGGCCTGTGCACCCGTATAATAGACGTTCCCTCTTAAAAAGTGGGTACTGGGTTTTGCATGTGCATTTTCTTTTTAAAGTGGGGGGGCTGGTCTTTTCAAAATCCGCAAAGATCCTCCAGAATACCTTTCACAGGAGCCCTGCTCAGCAGCTCAGTTCATTAAGGAGCCGGTTTTTCTTTTTCCTCGTTCTGTACCTGCCAGGTCACAGATTCTGCCGGTTCCACCTGTTTTCTTTGACTCATGTCCACTTCACATCTACGCCTCAGCATCTTAGAGTCAACAGAGCCGCAGGTGGCAGTCAGAGCAAACAGGATCAGAAACAGGCCAGTTCCTTGTGGTGCTCCTGTTTCAATCATTACCACCCAGCAGGACACACTGTAGGAGATAACTCACACAATGCTCACCAGCTGGTCAGCAGTAGAAATTAAACCAGGATGTGGTGATACAATATTTGTTTGTGAATGTTTTTATTGTTTCATTTGATTTACTTATGTTTTTAAAAACAAAACTGTAAATTCACTTACTGTATGTTCAGATTTTAAAACTTGTAGGTTTATGTTTTACGCATGACTGAAAGATTTTGAATTAAGATTTTTTTTAAACAAAAGCTGAGTATCTTCAGCTACTGATTTTTTTAAGTTACTGCAGAGTTGTATTTAATTTGATTTTAAGAGCAAATAGCAAATAGTATTTTTTTTTATCTCTTTACTGGGTCAAGAAGCAACCTGTTAACTATCCTGTTAGCACAGTTTGTTCTAAACTGTTATTCAGTATTATAATTGTCCTACCATTCATATAAGAGCAAACTCTAATGAGAGACTCTTTTATCCCCTATCTGAACAAGTAATCTAACACCTCTGTGTCCTGCAGCTGCTGTTGCCACAACATCCTGGGGATCATGTAGCACTTGGTTTTGTGAACTGTTTTTTTGTTGCACCTTTGCTGAACTTTTTTATTTCTAAGTAAGTGTGTCCCTACAGACTTTTTAGAGTCTGTGGCCCTTTTTGTTTGGGAAAATATTTAATAGGCTTAAATTGACGAGTGGAGATAATAAAAAATAATGATGTGCCTACTTTGTGCAGGATATGAAATGTTAGCCTGTTTGGGTTATTTTAAATAAGATCTCTAAGCAGAATGAAGAAACTTATGCAAACGAGTGGTTGTTGCTGAGCAACAGGTCAGGGTGTGTTCCTGCCAGTTGGCAAGTTGCAGAAGGTTAGAAAAAACTCAACATAGTTGCCCAAGCAGGTCAGAACATGTTGAGTTCGGCTCAGAGGATAGAGCAGCATGGACAGTGCTTGGACAGGTTCTACCATCCCAAGTATTTAAGAGTAAAGCACAGCCCAAAGCCATGATCTGTAGTATGCAGTATGCAACAGTGTGCAGCGAGAGCCTGGGTACACTGAAAAATGATGATTCATTTTAAGAGCCCGCAAAGAAAACACATGACCCTTGTAGATTTACACTGTGTGATCGTACAGGATGACAAAAAATATGCAAACCCTCTGTAGGATCATTCTCAACGATACTGAAGGATTTTGTCCTGTTTGAAGGTTATTTCCATAAATAAATAAAGGATTGTTTTGATCCTAAAATAAATCCAATTAACAGACTGAAGCATTACTCTGGAAACCTGAAACTTGTAGGAGGCTTTGGTCTGAGTCTGGATTGTCTCTTTGCAGTCTGATTATTAAGACACTATCACAGAAATATAAAAGCATGGTAGTACATATAAGGTTACAAGGGTATAAGGCATTTCACTGTTGGAGAATATCGCCATCTAGCGGTACAATAGGAAATTAACCTTTCTATGGGAAGCTATGGAATCAATGTTATTCCAATATTGTTGGAAGCAAAGAAGA